TGACTTAATCCCTCCACTGCAGAGAGAGTCATATAAGATAAAATGAGTTTATGACTGTGTTTTCATGTCTCCATCCAACTATCTAGTCACATAGTTGCATGTATTGGTATAATCTTAACGTTTCAATGAAGACGATCGAAGACAACAAATCTAGATCTATAATCGGGCTCTAGAAAATTCGAACCTTAAATTTTTCATCCAGGAAACACTCTCTACAGTAATAACCATTCTTCTGTAAAGTTTAAAAAAAGATAGTCACGATTGATGAATCCAAATCCTTAATTAGTTTCTAACTATTCATAGCCTTGATTTTTCTTTGATAAAACTCATTGTTTCTCTAAAATACTGTGTGCCTACTGAGAAATCAAAGAGATGAGTGTCGCGAAACTAATTACAGACTGAACTTGTTCGACTATACTTGCGTTTCGTCAAACTTGATAAAAAAAACCACTGCTTTGTTAAAAATAGGTTTTTTCTGGATGAAAAAAAAGTGAAACTAAACGGTATTTGCCTCAACGTATCACTTCTTCACTTGATTTCAACTTAATAAAGTATTAGATGGGAAAATGTTAAACTTAATATTTAATTGTAAGCTTTATATCAACATTCAATACAAATAGTGCTCGTACCACAATTCACATGACCGTCCACTAAATCTGTCTTAACCATCGCCTCTTATCACTTACTAGATTCTTTTTTGAAAACTATTCCTCAAGAACAAGTGATAATGTAAAGAGAAATGTTTGTTTTGTTGCCAGAGGGTGTGGGTGGGTGTGTGTGAGTGTGAAAAGTAAAGAAACACATTCACACCTGCATCCACACCTACACTCTCAGCCACAGCCACACTCACACCCGCACCCACTCCACATTCACATCCAAAGATTCTGTCTTTATTTTATTTAATGTCTTCAGTAGAAACAACAATGATTTCTTTTCTTGCATGTCCGTATTCTATGAGATTCATCATTCTCAACGAGCATATAAATACAGGATGATTAAAAAAGTGCTCACTGAGTCATCTAATGTATGTTAGTGATATTGACGAACAATAACACGTTTTTTTTATTGTTGTTCTGTTCTTTTAGAAAGAAATGTGTCTTGGATATTTAATACTGCTTTATCATAGCAGAGAAAGAAAGAAAAAAAGTTTTTGCTTCATCATCAGCATATGCCTATATAAGATTGTTTTTCTCTCGAGTTTTTGAATGCGTTAAATATGATTCTGTTCATATTTTTATATACCATTGTCGGACTAATTTTTTTCATTTTCTTCTTTATTTATTGGAAATTAATTCGTCCACAAAAACGTTTCTATGATATATTTCGTAGTCAAGGTGTATCATGTGAACCGTTCGTACCATTGGTTGGTCAATTACCTGATATACGTCGTGCGTCTGAAAAAGATGATGCATTGAATTATCGAATGAAACTTGTTCGAAAACATGGTTATGCTTATGTAATAGGTTTCGGTCCATCAATACGTTTAGTTGTAATGGAACCAGATATGCTTGCTGATGTTTTTGGTCGATCACATGCACAAGATTATAGAAAGCCAATTGGTACTGACAGATTTTTTAAACCTTTAATTGGTGTACATAATCTATTAGTTAGCGAAGGATCAGAACATGAACGTGCACGAAAAATGCTTAATCCAGCTTTTCATTTTGTTAAACTACAATCAATGATTTCTATAATGGTGAATCAGACTAATAAGGCTATTGATGAAATTCTTTTATTATCAACTGAACATCAAATCATCGATTTACAGACAGAATTAAATACATTAACATTAAGTATTATTGTATCGTGTGCATTTGGTAAATGTTTTGAAACCATGGCTAATGCGAAACAAATTGTATGCCGAACATTTACTGAGCTATTGGAAGCGATACAATATCGAACAGTGCGAATGATCGATCAAATACCTGTCATTTCACAACTGCCATTTTGGCGTAAAAATATTTTAGATAAGGGTTCACGAGAAATTTCGAAATTTGTTGATCAAATTATTGCTGATCGTCGATATAATCGATCAACTAGCTTATCTTCTGGCGAAGATATTCTTGATCTACTTCTTTCAGCTGTCGATACTCAAGGACAACCATTTAATGATCAAGAAACTAAAGATCAAGCATTAACGTTTGTACTCGCTGGTCATGAAACAACAGGTAATTTAATGACATGGACTATGTATGTATTAATGACAAATGAACAAGTATTACAAGCTTGTCGAGATGAAGTCGATAGAGTACTACCTAATGGTATTGAACCTACTTATGAGAATATAAATGAACTAATCGTATGCGAAGCTGTTCTACAAGAAGCCCTTCGACTATATCCACCAGCACCTTTTATTTCACGAAGATGTATTCGTGAACATTATATAGGTAGTGAAGGTCATCGTCAAATACGTATTCCTGTTGGAGCAGTAATTATCGTTAATACTTATATCCTTCATAGACGAGAAGAATTTTGGTCTCGACCACTTGAATTTGATTATACTCGTTGGATTCGAGATCCTGTAACAGGTCTTAAACCAAAATTAGCTCATCCATTTAGTTATTTACCATTTGCGGCTGGATCACGTAACTGTATTGGGCAAAATTTTGCTCTACTTGAAGCTAAAATTATGTTAGCTATGCTTGTACAACGATGTAATTTTGAATTAGAACCTGGTCAAAAAATTGTACCTGAGGTTCGTATTACAATGCGATCTAAGTATGGGTTACGAGCAAGAATTACTAAACGCTCTTGAATCTTTTTCTTTTCATGTTTGTTTATGTTTTACATAAAATTAATCAACACTTAATTGATGTAGGTATATGTAGCACAATACAGATCAATTTTGTTAAATAAAGGTATGAAGATTGAAAAGTATCTATCTTTGTATTATGAAATCATGTAATCTATATAAACTTTTGATTTTATGTGTAATAGTATTTTACTTGATGATACTATTCTATATGAGTGCAAGATTTCGATCATAATCAATGGAAGAAATAAGAAGTTCAAAGTGGATGAAACATTTAAATATGGAGAAGTTATCTCCAACGTGTAGTTTTGATTGATTATAAAGAACTGTATATTGCTTGGAATAATACGTCGACTATTACTCAATAAAATGATCGTTGTTGTGATATTTACAACTATATAAATACTATGAAAAAAAACAGAATATTCGTATTATTAGAGTGAATTAGATCTTTACTATAATTTCCAAAATAAAATGTTAATGATTCTATTCGAAGATTATGAACCTAATTTCAAACGTTTGCATTTATTGAATTAGTGAAGATTAATAAACGTATACTTAAATTATAGACTATCCATGAATTGTAAATGGTTGTTAATTACTACTACATTCTAGAGTGTGGAGTGTGGGTTTACACCCACACCCAAATCGAGCAAACCTATGACTGTCTATCGTAGTGTAAACTTGGCTGATCATTTTATTGAACAGTATCGAAAGAAATGTGAAGGTGTCAGTCCTTCGAAAAGAATGATTTGTTTCTCTAGCTCTATGTCAACTAGTCTCAGTCGAGCAATAGCCGAGTTTATGGATGATAATACTCTATTTACCATCCAAACAGGCGACGGTTCAAGTTCTTCGTACAACAGCGATCTATCTCAGCACTCGAACTTTGATGAAGAAGAAGAACTGATACTATCTGGTTCGTACTTCACTCTTGAATCATACAAGCATGACGAAACAAAAAACAAATGGATAATGAAACTTCAAGCAGTTGGAATTTAGAAACTTTCTAATGTGGTGCTCATATTTATTCCAAAAGCACTCGTTCGCATCTGTAAAAGATATGGTACCAATAGGAGAATGCAATGTAGTTCCAATAATTCGATAATAATTAAAAACAGAGTTTTACAGATAACTCATGTAACTAGATGTATTCCTCAGTTGTCGGAAAAGCATTTAATAGAAAACTGGGTCTGAACGGGGGTATGTATATTTGTGAGTGTTTAAGTGTTGGTATGAGTGAGGCTCTCATTAACTCACATCTACATCTATAATTGTTCGTATATTCTCGTTTGTCTAAGTTTGCACGAGCTTTTCTCCAGTGATCAGAGACACGATCGTCTATTACATCATCTTGTCATAAAAAAGAAAATGCATACTTTATTTTTGAAAATTAATTCTTATTCTTGTGTGACTATGACGGCGCAAATCAGTGTGAGTGTGACTATTCTTTTCAATATGCCTACACTCAACCTGATTGGAATGACAATAGCACCATGTCGTCATTATCGCAATGGGTCAGTGTTAACCTACACCAACACAACTGGGTATGTGACTAAACATGTGCATGCGAACAAAAAACAACATAGTACCGCCTTGAAATTATCTTACATGACTCTCTTCAATTGAAGAAATAAGAAAAACCTTTCTTTTTCCACGAAGCACTATCCCTGCTGAAAAAAAACCCAGGTACTGAACTTCTAGAAGATGATTACAAATTTCAATTCCTAGGCGGCGATTAACTTCTGTAAAACTTTATACCAAATGGCTATACAAGTAATTACATCTGAACACACATGTGTACGAATTGGGGTGTGGGTGTGATGGGTGTGGGTGTGGGGTGTCGGTGTGGGTGTGAGTAAACAGAGAAATGACACCCACCCACACACCCCACCCACACCCACACCCACCGACCCACACCCACACCCATCCACACCCACAACCACATCCACACCCCTCGTGGAAGCCATTTTCGATACTGTTATGCTCGAATTCTATTTTAGGAGTAAACATTCCCAATTGATAAGCACCGTTCGAGTTCATGTTTTGTTGATGGTTGAAGTTCATCGTGTATAAAAACCATTTATAAGGATTCGAGCAATTGCTGCTTGGTTTCAGAGTTAGGACAGGAGCAAGTATCATGGTAGGTGGCGCCACCTTCTCTATGTCATTTATTTCTCTTTCCGTATTTTAACTACGAAATACATTTTTCTGTTGAAAATCTGATCATTAAATTATTGTGTTTGTGGCGATTCACCCTATAACTCTCAGTTGAATATGACTTAGCGTCGGAGATATAGATTATTTCTTGTTTCTCTTTGGTTTTAGCTAATCGCTGTAATTTTTTTCATCTACAAGCCCTCGCGAGATTTCTTCGCTCCTCTTTGGTTTTCTATAAAAGAAAAAAAAAATAAAAATAAAAAAAACATTTATGATATTTTTTTCCTTCACAAATAAATGAAAAAGCATACAAAGAAAGCAATCCGAAGGAAACAAATGTTCGAAGGAAGATATTGATCAAAACCTAATGATAACAATATTTTTGAAATAAATGCACGAAAGAAAGCTTGCACATCCAAATAGAAAATTCAAAAGCTGGGTTCAATACAACAACAGAGGTGTATTCTGTAAGGGGTAAAGAATAATATTTTATCTTTCTTCTTCGAAAATACATAGTGCGTTATGTGTTTGTAACAAAACAATCGTTAGAAGAACTCCTCTTTTCTATCCTCTGAATGCGATGTCAGATACAACTAAGAATTTTACGGTGAATAGTCACAAGCAAGATAAGTTAGTTCCCAAATTTTCAACAGAAAAATTTATTTCCTAGTTAAGATACGAAAAGAAAAACAAATGACACAGAGAAGGTGACACTACCTTTCGTGATACTTATTCCTCTCCTGGCTTTGAAATAAAGCAGCAAGGGTACGAATCATTTTAGATAATTTATATACATAATCAACTACAGTCACCGACAAAACATGAGATCTCAGTTGAGAATGTTTCCTCGTTAGCATGCGTCTGAATTGCAAATCTCATACTGGCCACGGTCTGATCTTCGCAACAATTTCGGTTTCATTCTTTACGATTGAGGAAGGTTGTAGACATTATTTATGCAAAGGTTCTCTTCCTATATGTTTTATTTAGTAGAATATATTTTGAAATAGATATTTGACGTTTCGATCAATGAAATTGATCTTCTTCAGAAAAATGATAG